GCAAAGATTGGAGGATAATATTAAAATTCTACCGAGTTATATTGCATTGACAGAACTGCTGTAAAAATTTTAATTTGATATATGAAAAATATCTACTCCAGCACAGAATTTTTGCAATTTCATTCCATACACATTGTTATAATTAATAGCTCGAATTAATTTTGAAAACAATAAAACCAAATGGTTTTAGCACAGCCATGAATACTCATCGCCCAGATGAAATAAGTAGCAAGGACCTCTGAAACGTCGGTAATCTTCTACTAGTCTATATGGCGTTACAACGCCAAAGACAGCTTTCTAAGCACTCTCATTCATGAGAACCTCAAATCCTTCCTACATGCGTACTTGATCCTCTACGTGTATCCTCTGTAGAGACTTGTATTGATGCATTCCGGTGTCTGTGTTTTACATTCAGTATTTTTTTACACTGCCCACAGCACAATTTTATAACATTTGTTGATGTTACGTTATTTAATTAAGAGGAATGTGTGTCAACAGAATTTTTCATCTTCTGGCTGTATTTTTCATACCGGTAACAAAATGTATCATCTAATTACTAAAGTAAACTTTTTGTGCAATTTTGTTATTTACGTTGACAGATTTCAGTATCCAGTGTAGAGCCAGATGATGAGAGTTGAAGTACAAATATATTGTTAATTAAATACAACCTTAATCAATGTCATAAATAAACGATGTAAAGAAATGCGTTCATTTGAAAAATGAAACATGGAATCGTAAATGTTGAACATTTAATTTTCAAGGAATTTTTTATATTAAACTGACAGAGAGGAATAATTTAAACGTGATACTTCCTGAGTCTGATAACCTGTTGGGTTGGTTAATTTGCAATATCATTACGTTAAGGTCTTGTGTCCGGAGACATCCAGCCATACCTGGAGGGTTATGTTGTCGTCCTCTAGTCGAACCGGATGATTCGTTGTACGTGATGCAAGTAGCAGAACTTCCACTGCCGTGGCGATCCTGTCTCCTGCCGAAGAAGTTGAGGAATGGTGCACGCGGGGTGTTTCTAGACGCTGAGGATGCGGAGTGTTGTTCTTGAATGATGCGGATGATTGACCTGTGCTACTCGCATTGGATCACGGGACTTAGTAAACTGAAAAGAGTAAGAAGAAATACGATGACGTTGTAGTATAACTATATATTATATTACTCCCGATATCACAAGACGCGCGTTCACCCATCACTAAGTGAAGATAAGGCTGTATGATGTTCTGCAACACCGGCAGCCATACCAAGGTTGCAAAAAGTGTGGATTTTATTCCTCTCTGCAGGGTTATCAGCCGGTGACGACGGACGGTGTTACAGTCATATTTCTTCGAGAATTAGTTTGAGTTTCGTGCTATTACTTTACTTGTTGTATCCGAGTTTGTACAATAAATTAGTTTCCCAGTGGCAGTCGGTCTGTTCAGTAAGCTGTCCATTTTATTGGTGAAGACTACACATACACTGAGGGATAAATCTGCAGAACGTCTGAACGTCACCCCACACGGAAGCGTTCAAGATACGTAACATTTAATAAATTGTCCATTAATAGCGTCAGGATCTAATTGTTAGCAGTATTGATTTGCAACACAAAATTAGGAGATACGAAAACATTTTTTAAACCCAGTTTGCGGCAAGAGATATTTGAAATTGGTATGAAAGACTTCTTTTTGTCTTTGAATTATAAAATATGAGATTACACTACACATTTAACACATTGTAAGTTTTAAACACGTTATTTCTTAAGTCTAATTATTAGTCAAAACCATTTTTAAAAGCGGCTGACTTCTTACTGGCAGTGGTTTGTAATCAGTAGGTTGAAGAAGAAAGGTTTTTTTAATTGTACATTTCCTACCAAGAATTGTACCATTTCACGTTCTGAAAACACACAACGATCTATAAGTATACTTTTAACGATATTTTTAGAAGAAACATATTCCAAATAAGTTTGTTTGAGTAATGGAAGCAAATATCAACCTACATCAAAATTTTCGAGTAGAGAATCTTTAGATTTTCGCCTTTTAAAGTACGGTTTACTGTATCCAACTATTTCCATGAATCTGTGGTCTTTTGAGGAGCTGATAGTCGCTCAGCTAGAAATTCGGCGCCTTTTATGGAACATAAATATTTATTGACGTTCACCTCTTCGAATTCCAACCTGATGACCGCAAGAAACTTTGTGTGGTAGCAGATCAAAGCTTTGAAGCTGTGAACAGTGCAAACCTTCGAAAATTATGTACCTTTGTAAATATTTTTTACTTCTTAAATATAAGACGCAAAGTAATAATAGTATGAAAATTATCTTTCATAGACCTATTTGTAGTATAATTCATGACACTTTGGAGTTTGACCTGGCAAGAATTTTACACATGGAAAAATGCCGGATTAACAATTATGCGAAGCATTTAGCTTACATTACAGATTTTACATTTCATAATCTGCACCGCCTGAAGCTTTGTAGGCTGTGAGTGTCAGTCGTTAAGTCATTAAGTCTTTTCAAGGTATTTCATCTAAAGCATGCAAGTTTCTATGAATGTATTGATTATCCAATTGAAGGATTATGGTAACCTTATAAAATACTATAATTGGAGTTAAAATCATATTATAATCCACGCAAACGCAAATTAAACTGGCCGATACTGGAAAGAAAGGTCTAGCTAGCATTGGTTATGCTACATAAAAATATATTATTTACTTACTTTCATGCTACTTGAATTTATATTTATTGTATTTAAATAGTATAATCAAAGACAGTCGGATCACCTCACTGACGAAATGACAGTAATATTGTTTGTTTATTAATCCAGTTTAATTGTATTGAATTGCAACCATAAACAAATGTTTCGTATGAGTTGCGTGAATTTTCGATCATTCTGTATTTCCATGTTGATGTCCCAGATTATTTCCAGTGTAACATTTATATACTGTGTAAACCTGGTGTTACAAATATTGCATAAACCAACCACTTGCACAAGCAAAATAGTGATAAAAGTGGTTTGATTTACACATTTTGTAACCTACTACTGCTCGGTTTTTAAGATTGATGTCACAAACTTTTAGAGAACCACGAAATTGTTTATTATTCAGCTGTTGATTCTTGCTAATAATCTGGTTATCTTGCTACGTATATTCCGTCCACTCTTGTCATAAACTGGAGTGAAGAGTATAGAACTACATTCTATTGGAATAATCAAATACAAGGTGAGCTTAGTTTCCTTTACTGTCTACAGACTATCTTCTTTCTTAATAGTTTGAACATATAAAAATGTGCTTAAAATTATTCGTTGTCAAGACTTTTTCCATCGTCTGTTCTTTAAAATCACGACGTTTTGGAGGCTGGTTCTGTCTCCGTCTTCAGGTGAGAGGTACCTACTCTGTTGGGTCCCTTAGATATAGCTAGTCACTGTCACTGAATAATTTAAAGTGTAAACTACCGTCGTCAAAACCCTTTAGAATTGAATATAAAAATGTAATTTGTACGAAAGTAATCGATTCACATATTTGATTATGCAGACAGTATAGATAGTGGCAAGACGGCTTAAACGCATGCCCAAGTCAGCAGCTCACGTATGCGACAAATTGAAACCATAATGGCTTGTAGATAAGGTGCAATCATTTGATCCAGTTTCGCCTCGCAAGACAAGTTAAGTTATTCAGTTGCTACAGTTCAACACTCTCATAAAAACTCACATGCAGAAGAGATCAAGTTGTTAAGAATCTTGCTTCGTACTTTAGGGGGTGCCGGGGTTTGATTCTTGGCTCGAAAGCCAGTTATCTTACCAGTAAATTAAGCCGTGTAACCTGTTAAAATTACTGAAATTACTAATTTATTTAGACAATTAGTAAGATTCCTAGGATGGGTGATCAGACCATCGCAAGGCCTCTACGTACACAGGGCGGTGTAGCGGAGTATTTGGAACGGGATTCGAACCCCGGATGAAAATTGTAAAATACGGGTGTTACAGCAGTACTTCCCACAACGCAGAGGTGTTGAAGGTAGTTTACATTTGTTTTATGATGTGAACATTAATTTTATGAATGAGTTTTGTATGGTGGCAACTATACGCGCATTATAAATTATTCTATTTGACCCGTAACGACTGAAATAAATAGTCAATAACATTTGCAGTTAATCGCCAGTGGGATTGAAAATATAGCCTATTTAATCTGTATACATAGCGATAATAGCTTTACGTAATATTTAGTAGGATTTAATGGCCAGATACATTTTTCAATTACTGTTGACACATTTTTAATTACTCTATGTTTTAACCAATATGGTTGAAAAACAGAAACGAATGAAGAAAGTTTCGACATTAACCATTTGAATACGAAGCTAACCTAAATAATATTTAAGAAATTTGTCCATACATCAAATAAAACACAACACTTTATCATTACAAAGGTCAGATGGTTATTGTCACTAAGGAACTAATCGCTCTTTAAAGTGAGAATCGTATGAAACATAAATTCAAAGTGCATCGTTGCTTACTGCTAAAGCAGGAGGTCTTAAAAGGATTAAATCAAGGAGAATGAAATGGACTGCTCGAATTTTAGGAAAACAAAGCGTTTAGCCTTAACATTTTAGAGGGTTAGTCACTTGAAAACGAGGGTCTTTATAAGAGAATATCAGTGCAACTTTGGTTTCTGTGACTTCTTAGTCTCTAAATTAAAAGAGATCAGAAGTTCTGCGTCTTCGTTCAGCTGAAACACGCACGAGATTCATAGATACTAGGGTTATTATAATTCGTCGTCTGGGATTAAAATAGGATTATAACATACCCTTGAAAACTGTCTCTTTATCTTTCGTCTGAAACAGTCATTCTCTTATCATTTTGCATGTGAAAAATATAGCACAAGCATTCGAAAGTCCAAGTGCTTAGACAGGCTCTTATATCATATAGTAATCGGGGGGGGGGTGTTTGTCGTAACCCCATGGTGTGGGGTCATTCGTTCTGACGAGGGAATTGGAAAAAAGACTTTCTACACGTGGATGTGTCTTGGCCGTATTTTGCAAACTGTGAGATTCTGGGAGGAACGAATACCAGCCATGCAACGGACGTGATTTCTGAAAATGAAGCGGTTACGTAGTTCTTATAAGGGTGTTGCTTTTCGTAATAATGTGTAGTCCGTCCGTCTAGTTCTCAGTGACTTACCAGTACTCTCCGTCAACAGAGCTTTGTGGAATTTTATACTCTAACTCCATAGAAAAGGGTCCTTCTCGAAGCTAACATTTGCTTAAATGTTCAGAAATTATCCGCCCTTTATAAAGTGCTCATTGACATGTTCACAAAGACCCCCCCTCCCCCACTGACCCCAGTCCCAGGCCAAATTAATTATCTCCACAGCCCCTCCCCTATTCTTTTTTCAGATACATTTTAATATTATTTGTCTACCTATGCTTATGTCTCACAAGTGGTCTCTTTCCTCAGGTTTTATGACGAAAACTTACTTTTTTGATCCAGTGGTCCTCCATATAATGGAGCACAGTAGAATCAATAAGATAAAATGCATTGTTAGCCAGCTGAAGCCAGGAGATCTAGTTGAGGTTTATGCTCGTCTCGAGCTTAATAAAGCTGGCAACACCTGGCTGGCTGCATGTGACTAATGACGAATTTTATCTCATCGGTTCTGGAGTGTTTCGGTGTACGGAGGACCACTGGATCGCGGAATTATGACAGGAGACAATTTTTCGTTTTTCAAAGTGTTAGCCGGACTAACACTGTTAGCACGAACACTCCCCTCCTAATTAAAACGTTGTTTGTAGTTATCCGAAAGGATAATTTCATTACACTTCCATTGTCACGCATTTGCTGAGAAAATTCTTCATAACAATGTAAATTTGGTATCGATGTCATCGGGTCTTTGTCAAATGCTATAATGCTTACAAAGATTACTTGGTACAAAACAGAAAGGAATGCTTGGTTAGCAGTCGTACTGGTGGCTTACATGTGACACCATCATGTACAATTGCCAGACCCATTAATAACAGTGTAAACAGTGTCTCCGTTAACCTCGAAAC